AGAACTTGGGTTCTATTCTGAAATTCTTCTTTGTTTAAGCACTGGGATAATAATATGCAACTGTTACGTTGAAAACTACGAAACAATTGGAACCATAAGTTTTATATTAGATTTTAGAGCAACGCAAAAATCTTTTCTTGTTATTCTGTCTTGCTTCTGTCTCCCAGTGTTCGGTGTAAGTGGTCATAATTCTGCAAACCAAACTTTTTCAACGACCATAATTGACTAATTGTGTGGTTCATTTTGTATTTTTCGGGTGAGTTAGAATCCAAAGAAGATGCAGAAATTTGAAGTATAATGCACTAGCTGATGGCAATTCACATGTGTTCCAGTCACTACTGAAATAAAAAAGAAAAGAAAAATCATTGTTAAAACTTGTTTAGTTCTACATGACTTTTAACAGTAAGGGTAATTGATGGAATGGAGCAACAAATGTAATAATAAGTTTGGTTAGCTTATTTTTTTATTGGTCTGTCTATGAAAAAGTACCTTTAATAAGATGGAATGAAATCTTCCATGTGCTCCCTTTGTGAATTGTGGTGAGAGGGAATTTCAAACAAGAAATGAGTCTGAAGCAGGCTTTAATGTGAAGTCTGTTAAGTGCTACAATGTCAGCTTCATGGTGTGGTCAAGTGGGGAGAATACGACAGCTACAACTCGTGATTTATGGTCCTAAATTCTCTATATCAGGGATGCAGTTGTTGTGTATTTTTGAGTATTTGAGTTCAGCCACTAGTGCGGTATTTGCTGGTTTATGCCAAAGTAATCATATAGGTTCGTGAGAAAAATTATGGTCGCATATTTTACAATAGTTACAAGTAGACTACAATGGTGATCTTGTTTTCTTAGCAAAGTTTATGAAGATTTGACCAATGTGGAGACATTATTTTCATAATACAAAACGTCCTATCTTTGAGTTAGTAATGATAGAGATGAAAGAACTCTTGAAGCCAGAGATGGGCTCCATAGGTTGCTGGATGAAGTCAGTTTGCTAACTTCATCATTTATCTGCAATCTGATATTTTCCCATGTGAATGCATGCTAAATGCAATATCATCCTTCTTCTGAGTGGTCCAGTTTTCAAACTTGCATGATTATCTTTTCGACTTAAAACGAAATAATGCAGTTGCAATCATCTTGATATGCATATTCATCGTAGCTTTGAACTTAGTGATGTTACATTACTGTTAAACAACAGATAGAATGGGTTTAAATTCATTATGGCAGGTCCAGCATTAATAGTAAACAATGCTTAATCCCAATACATTATTCATTTAAGCCATGGGCCAGAACCCACCAAAAGCATACGAAAATTATCTTAATTCAAAATTGAGTTCAATAAGCCAATCCCAACAGAGGTCCAAAACAGAGCTTTTGCCCCCATTTGATCAATGGGTTAGGTGCTTTCTAATGTTCCGAGGCCCATATTCTAATGGATTATCTCTAAACACCCCTTATTAAGTATCAAAGCATTATTATGTTTTTTACATATTGTTTTAAGTAAAGTTAAGCTCATTAAATGGAATGTCAAACTAAATTTGGATGATAATGCAAAATTGTTTTACACGGAGTTCTGTTTACATTCAAATACTTGTTATCTCATAGGAAAATCTCAACATGCAAGTTGTTCCTTAAGCCTGTGACTGTCAATGTCGTACAAAACAAAGGTACAAGCTAAGAAGTTACCAGAGAATAATGTTGAGTAAACCTCCATGTTAGTCCATGATACCATAAGTACGAGTCATTTTAATGATTTTGTAAAATTCTTATTAACCCCTTTGCAAAGTTAGGAACTAAAATGATGATTTTGTAAAGTTGTTAGTTGGGGACTAAAATGATTGATGGTTACAGCTTAATGACTAATGCAGAAGTTTGGTTGACTAATGTTACTCTAACCGTAAAAGAAACTTGGACATACTGAATTAATAATGATATAAAACATAAAGGTATAGTCTCGCAAGATGGCATTTCAAAATTGACAGAAAATGTAGGACATGGCTTTTAACAATAACCTGTGTTGTTGTGAGAAACAGTGATAGAATTATAATGGTGTTTAAATAGGATTTTGACTACTCAAGAAGAGAATAGAGCAGAAAGGAAATGATAGGTGGAGAGGGAGGACCCACATGCTCAATTACGAACTACATGACTCTTGGGTGGAAACTTCACCAAGGCAGCATCTGTTCTTTCAAAGGAGTTGTTGGGTGTCTTAAACAGTACATTAGGATGACCAAGACAAGTTTTCGCGAGATTTCCCGCTGTTCCTACTTTCTGAACTTCACTGTTTCTGTTCACACCAATGCAGAAACATAAGTACTGCTCTTGTTGACATTTTGTCCCTAAATGCATACAGAAACAAACTCCTATAGTTCTTACTCAACCACTACTCACTTTTCACCTCTGTTATATCACATGTCAACTATTCTGCCGCTTCTTAAATAATCTCTATCTTTAAATTGTGCATTGTGTTATAATCTTATGTTTAACCATTCTTCTATCTAATTATATAATATTGTTTTCAATAAGACTCTGTTTTCTGCTTATAGTTTTTTGTAGCTTCTGCATTAGGTTGACGTGATACCCTCTTAGGCTCTAACCACGTAGGTTTTGATAAGTTACTGCGTACCCGAAAAACACAACAGTTTTCGGTAAACATGTCTTTGCCCTATTGGTGCCTTGGTCGATTTGGGTCTACAATAAAAAATGAATTTGGCATTTGAGACCCTAATAATTAAGCCAGTGTAATGCATCAATGCTGAAACATAATTGGTTGTTACAATTTGGCTTTTTTCACGAAAATAACTAGGCAAATAATAACCACGTGCATGGGGAGCATGCTCGGCTTGTCTGTAGCATTGATGCTTGGTAGCTACTTCAGATATCATGGTGCACGTTACCTGTCTCTTTTGTGTACCTACGACTATTGTTTCACCGAGTATAGTCGTATATTCATTGATTCATACTTTGATTTCCCACACACAAAGGTGCAAACAAGTTATTGACTATAGAGATGAGCTATCAAGTTATGTTCTCATTCTCTCCTGTCCCTTGTGAGAGTAAAACTGTGAATTATACAGTATTGTTGTTTTTAGTAGACTTTTGGGTGGGTAAGCCAATATGTGCAAAAGATTTATTTTGTAAAAGCTAGGAAAATTTGTTGGCTAAACAACCACAGAACCAACTAATGAAGACAATGTAACTTTAGCTCGTACCTCTTGTAAAGAATTGAGAAAGCGCCCTAAAGTAACAACCAAATTTGACTCTCAAGCGGACTCATCATATCACCCAGAAATTACTGTTTGGAAGGAATATAGCTGTCACTTTGAAAATCCCTCATGTTGTGGACTATTGCAAACCATCATAGCAAGGACATCATGCATCTGCAACATATAGCGAACCATAACCAACTCATGGTGACAAAAGCAAAGAAACAGGACCACAGTAGAAACAAAGTAACCTCCCCAAATCAGAGGTTGATCAATTTATGGGCAGTCATTTTCAGAAAATGCGTCCACTGGTGACCGGTCTTTGCACTTTTTCCCTTTGATCTTTTTTGGGTATTTGGTGGTCTTCAGTGACTGCAGAAACCCCATTTTCTCTTGTTCCCAATGGCAACCTACGTTGTCAACATTGATCAATTATTCACTTTCCAAACACAATGTTCAGACAAGAATCCTAAAGGTTCAAACTTCAGAGAGAAATCATCCTTTCAGAAAAGAAGAGTTCCCTCCAATCACCCATCATTTTAATTTTGTTGTGGTCAAGTCAAGTACAGCATCTGCTTGAAAACTCATTTTTAAACCTTTATTTCCATGTACATCCTATTATAATGCGCTCTGGTTTGACCTTTACGCTTGATAATGACAACGAATACGGAAAGGGGTTATGAAAGCCCATCTCTAGGGACAGATTAACAGAAAGAGGATATTCATCGTGGTTTTCTTTTGCTAAGAATAGCAGATTGGTTTTATCTTACGGACGTGCATCTTCTAGCAATTATTACTGCAAATATTGCAATAAATTATTTGTACCAAGACACCGAAAGTGACTATTGGGGTCAAAGTATCGGAAAACAGATTCTGGTACACGGTGATTGTTCCAGTGTTACTTTGTTTTAGAGGATTTTGATGTCCCTTTTTACTTAATCAATGTACTTTGTTAAGTGGTCCTATATTTTTTAAACTTTTTTTATTCCAGTCCAGATGTATTACGAGCTTAACTAAGGGACACCGCTTGCTAGAAAGTCAAACATTCAAATTTATTGTCAATCCGGTAATGTTTGAGATATGACTGTAATGGGACTGTTGAACATCCATAGACCTCAACCTATAATCTGTTTCTCCGCGAGTATTATCAAATTCAGGGTTAATCAACGCCTAACTGAGATAACTAAACTGTTAGAAACAGGTTTTAGAATTAATGTTGAGACCAAAAAGGTAAGGAATTAGAGTTGCTCAACAAAGCCAGTTATAACTCTATCGCTTTTACGACTCAATGTTAGGAAATTAAGCAAGACACCGAATCTTGCGACTAAAATTACTGTTGAGTTCTTCAATTCACCCGTAGAACAGAAAAAGATGCCAATATCTGAAGACAAAAATATTTTGCCAGACTTGCATTAGATACAAAACAGATTCGGATGGCCAGAGAAGTAAACGTCTACGTTTTCGGAAAGATGGGGTTCCATATCTGTGTGAGTACCTTGTACCCCCCCCTGGGAGAGTAACAGAAAGATATGCATTGGCAAAAGGATCCACGAGCAACTCCTAGACCTAGTGGGGCACATATTTCTTAAAGGGTTGGTTTGATCATGTACAAGAAATTCATTGATAAATCTAAACTGTCACTGAAGACATTTAACACATCTTTGATTAGCAGTCAGAAATCTCGATATGCAGTTCTTAATACGCAGAAACAGAGAATAGATCGGCCGATTGGCAGATAATAAGCAAAGGAAATATCTTGAATGTGCTCTGGGACCAATGTCATGAGTAGGATGATTAAAAACGGCAATGAAAATATAACTCACAGGTAGGACTACAAGTTTATAACTTGTATTTCTACTCGGTATCAGATATCTTATCCACCTCAAACAATAAAGTGGAGGAAATCTCAGTCTCTGCCTCATTAATTTTTCAAATTTTGGCTAGAAATGTCTATAACTAAGAACATAATTTAGTTGCATTTGGACAACATGACTGCCAGATTTATGTGAAAGAAAGCTACCACATTGGAAGTAAATACTGAGATCATTAACGAGGGCTATTAAGAACATCAATTGACACGCGACTAACAGAAGGCAGTCGCATTTGCTGGTCCTGAGGTCTTCTCCTCTTAAACAGCGGCTCCAGTGAGAGTGAGACTGATGATGACAATGCCCACGAATCATTTGAGCTATCACAGCTGAAAGTTGAATCAAGGATACCACCTGGGCTACTTGGTTCAGTTAGACGCTTGCGTTTCTGGTGAAGGCTGTAAATGCCTTCATAGCGACCTAATATTTTCTGCATGAGCTTGTAGCACTGGTTCACTTGTTCCTGTAAGATACCACCAACATTTTTCAATTACTCACCAAATCAATGACAAATTCAAATATTTAACAAACAAGAACACGAGAGACAGAGAATCAATGAAGTTAAAGAGACGGACCTCGCTAATCTTTAGTAAACCAAGAAGCTGATCAATGTACTTTGTAGCGTTAAATGATTCAATCTCTTTAATAACATGGATCATGGTAGCAGCAGCCAATGTAGAAGGAAGATAACTCATAGCCCTTGAATCTGACAACAATCATGAAATTCCATACACAGATGTCAGCGATCATAATGGCACAACTCCAATTGGCTTAACATGAATATCTAGTGTTTCATTAATTAACATTTAAATCCATACTAGAAATTTTTGCTACATACCCGCAGTGACATTGAGAAGAACCCGCTCACAACGCCATAGAAACTCCCAATGCAAGCGACTCTTCAAACCAAGCCTTCTGACAATGTGTTCAAAGAAAGAAATTGGAGTCACCGGATGCATCCTCCATTTAAGAGTAGACAGCACTAGCAGCTCCATTCTCTGAATGGTCTTCGCCTCAAACACAAACCTCGATTCCTCCACCTAAAAAGCCACCAACCAAAGAAAGGCAAATGCATGAGAAACGAAACAATAAGTCATATCAACAAACACCTAGGGTTCATCTTAGATCAAAAAACATACTTGAAGGTCCAAAAGAAGCGGCACATGGGTCTCTTCGGTTTTTGCAGCAAGGGACAAACAAGCAACGGCAGTGAGCTGTGTCATCCACGGCTTGTCCCTGTGAAACCTCAGACATGGGATGAACCGATCAAAGTAGTTAACAGCAAGAACTGTGGTCAAAGCAGAAAACCCATAATGTCCACAGACTTTTGAAATCCAGTTCACAGCCTCCACACGAGAGCCTTCTAAGGGCCCATCGGCAATGGCACTAAGAGAACACGAATGGGTCTCTCCCTCTTTCGAGATTAAAGACACAAGCTCTTCATCTTCCCAGAACAGATCATTTTGAAGCAAAGCCAAAGGAAAAGATTGCAACTTTCTCCCAGATGGGTCATCGTCGTTGATCTCACACTCAGCGCCGTTAGCATCGAAATCTTCGTCGAAGGTGACACGCTCTTCGCAGAGAAGCGCATCGAGGATGGAGGGAGAGTGGTGCTGTGCATCGTCACCGAGAGCCATTCTCTTCAAAGAAAGAAGTTCTTCATGGTTGGTAAGAGAAGATGTGCAGAGCCATTTTCAACTGTGCCTATGTTTGTTTCTTTGTTTCTCTCACTAGGGTGAGTTGAAAGAGAGAAAGAGAGAAAGAGAGAGAGACGAATGCAGTAATCAAACAAAGGGTTTTATCTGAGAAGCACTTCACGCTTGTCCTTTTCTTTCCCTTTCTTTTCTTCATATTTTCTTCCACATATGTTGTTATTTTAATATTTGTATTGAAGGACGAGCAAGACAGCCTGTTGTTTCGCGCCGCCAGAAAAACAGCGCGTAACGGCAAACCACATATATCCACGTATCACGTAGTCGTTTGCTAAATTTGAAGTATAGGATGTAACAATAGGTTTCTTTTTCTCTGCATCTCATTCCCCCCTCGTTTTTTTTCTTCACATCTATAAATATGCTTTTATTATACATACTTTTCCTTCACATACTTACAATGTTTTTTTTTTTTCAATAACTTTTAAAAAAGTGGTTATGAAAATTCACCTTCATTATTGTTTGGGTCCCAAGTTCTTCGCTTTTCATAAAATTAATAAAGCAAAGGCCAGTTAAGTTATTATTCATCTAATTCTCGTTAAAAATGTATTAGACACGAAGATTAAGAAATATATACAATCAAAATTACAAATACCTTAAAACAATTCCAACTACAATAAATTAATATGTTTTTGGTTCAATCCAAAAATGGATACAATGATACTACAAGTTATAAACTATAACATTTTAAGTTTTTTTTAAATCACAACATAATTAAATAAATCTTTTTAAATTTTTCAATTTCCAAATAAATAAATTTATCAAAAGGTTGACGCTCCAACTTGTGTCATTCCTATCTTTAACTCGTTGTAGATTTCTAAAATATACACGTATAAATAAAATGATATTAAGAACTCACAACAACGAAATGTTTCAAACAAAATACCCCAAAGTAATTTAAACTGACAATGATTATTTAACCTAATAATTCAATATAATAAGTTGAATAAATGAGAATTACAATTTATACAATGGTATGGATTGATTTTAAATTTTAAAAATCACGATATAAATTAAACAATTCATTTCATTTCTCTCCGGTTTTAAAAAATATTAACAAAAATACTATTAATTAGGATTGAGAATTTCACCTATTTTGGATGTGTTTGTTCTAGGATGGATTTAGAAAATGAATTAGAGTACATTTGAAGGGTGAAAGAGATAACAATGTGATAGTTTAGATTAAAAAATATATAAAAATAAAAAATTTGATATAAAAGTTTATAGAAGTTAGTCAGTCATACGATAAGTTCATAGATTAAACAATATTTTATTTCATAAAATTGAATGATTAAAGTTATATATAATTACTGTAAATTATAATAAAATAATATGTGAATTATTGTTATTAATAATTTTATTATTATAATAATTATTAATATTATTATTTTAATAATAATTTATATTTTATTACATTATTATCAAAAATATTATATATATATATATATATATATATATATATATATATATATATATATATATATTATTTATTTTGTATGTCACCGTTTGGTATAATTCTGCATTAATGGAACTTTGAACGCAAATTCAGGCTTGCTGAGTTTTCGAAAATAAACACAGTAGGGATGTCAAAAAATTATTTATAAGTGTGTAGAAATTTGCTAGGCAAAGCTCCGCCACTACCTAAAAAGGTCAATAGCCATGTCTTAACTCATACAGGTTATGAGTATCCACATTTGTAACAAGTTTATAATATAATATTTATTTATGAATTTATAATTTTAATTAATTTATTTTAAACATAAATTTAATCAAGTTACAAGAAATATTTATTTCTCTTACATTCAAAAAATATTTATAGAATATTATTAAAGGAATAAAATATTTATAGAATATTATTAAAGGATTGAGAATCTCGTGATTTTACTAGACTTATATAAGTTATAAGAATTATACCTAAAATGTATATTTAAAAAATATCTAGAGATATAAATTTTATTTTTAAATGTTTACAAATTTTGAAGGAAGACTTCCCAATGGTAATGAAGCTTCGTCACTATTTAAAAGGACTATGATATTTTAATAATTTTTTTAACAATTTTTTAATAACAATATATGTATTATTATTTTATTAGTTCATATATTTGAAAAAGACTAATCACGAGCTATCACGTAGTTGTAAAAAAATTGTCAAAAAAATTATTAAAAAAACTTTTTCTTATCTAAAAGAACACTAAACCATATTTTAACTCATAGATTGAATACATATATAAGATTTTCACCTAGTTTAATTCTAATAGAAAATTGAGAGATTAATTTCCATCTTAATATCTTAATATTTTGAGATAGAAATATATTATCCTGCTAGGTATGATATATTTTAATATAATATTTATTTTATTAATTCGTCATTTAATTAGTTTTTTTTAAACATAAATTTAGTTCAATTTAATTAAGTTTGAAATATCTTCACGAGATCAACTCATTAAAAAAAAAACTCTTTAAACTTACAATATTAAGAACATTACATAATTTTGTAATTACATATTTATATCATCACTCAAATATCTGTTAAAACATATTTAATTAAATATATGAATAGTATAAGTTATTTGATCGTTTTATAAAATATATATATATATATATATATATATATATATATGAATGATGTCATAACTTTGTAAATATAAATAGAATAAATAATTTATGCATTTACAACACTGTTTAATTTATAAACCATGTATTTGAAAAAATAATTTATTTTCTTTCATTATAATTTTTTTAAATTTTAGTAACAGTTATTTCTGATTTGACCATAATAATAGTGATTTTTAATTGATCAATATTAATATATTAATAGTGACAAGACAAAATGATGTTGCCTTTTTGCATTTTCTTAACAATTTTAAAAAGATAAATGAATTATCATTAAATATTACAAGTTATAAAAAGTTTTAATATATATTTTAACGCGTCTTCTATATTTGCTTGATGTAGAACACATTGAAAAAAAAAATAGAATGATGGAAACAAAGGTAACAAATATGATGTGTAATATATTGAAAATAAAATTTAAATGAAATGGTTGCTCAAAAGTTAAAAGAGGTTTGTACATCCTAGTGTCCGTATTTATGATTTTTTT